TTCAACATGTGAACCCTAGGAGGGGCTGGTGCTACGCTGGCGAAGCATACATGAATAAGATGAAGTATCTTGGCGCAGCATGTGTGAGAGGCAATAAACCTTCCCAAGCAGCAGTGAACATGTGCTCTAAGTACCGTCACGGGTTGCACTTCCTTTGCAAGAAAACAGAGGCGTTGGCTTAGGTATCTTGTCGCTTGTGGTATCTTGTGGTATCGTGTCGCTGCAGCGGTGGTAGGAAAACATACATCACCACCATCATCATTATATCATCAATGAAATGAACGAATCCAACGAATGTACACAGCCACTTGCGTATGCGTATATGTGTCCATATTGATTTAGTGTCACACACCATGATTACAACTGCATACGTACATGTGGTAATGCGTTTATGCAAGGCACATTTCACTTAGCTAGTAGATGCATATACAATTGGCTTACGTTTACATTCTATCTGTACTAATACTCATATCACAGTAAATATGTGCATATATGTATGTTTTTTTTACACAGGGGCCACGCATGCTGCCGCCCCCGAGGCACTGCGCATACGACGCACAAAACTGCTGGGACACATGCAAAACTGATGTATACAACCGAAGATTTTTTTTTTAAAAAAAAAAAAAAAAATATCTTGCGGCTGAAAACTGTCTAACGTTAATTTTAAATTGACTTCGCAAGATAAAATGATATAGTTTACTCAAGACATCTTTTAGCGATCTATACTTTTATATTGTCTTGAGATAGAAAGTAGACTTTCGCATATAATTATCTCAACAGATCTTAAGGGGGAGAACCCCCGGAGATCCCGGAGAACCCGGAGAACCCCGGGAGATTCCCCGGAAAACCCCCAGAGAACCCGGAGAACCCAGAGAACCCCCAAAGAACCTTCGGAGAACCCCCGGAAAACCCCCGGAGAACCCGGAGAACCCCCGGAGAACCCCCGGAGAACCCCCGGAGATCCCCCGGAGAACCTCGAGAACCCAGAGAACCCCCGGAGAATCCCCGGGGAACCCCCGGAGAACCCCTGGAGAACCCGGAGAAAAAGGGGAGAACCCGGAGAACCCGGAGAAACCGGACCACCCGGAGAACTTGGAGAACGCCCAGAGAATCCCCGGAGAACCCCCGGAGAACCCACCCGGAGAGCCCGGAGAACCCGGAGAACCGGGAGAACCTGGACAACCCGGAGAACCCTTAAAACCCGGAGAACCCCCGGAGAACCCGGAGAACCCCCGGAGAACCCCCGGAGAACCCCCGGCCCGGAGAACCTTAACCCCCAGAGAACCTGGAGACTTGGAGAACCTGGAGAACCCGGAGAACCCCCGGAGAACCCCCGGAGAACCCGGAGAACCGGGAGAACCTGGACAACCCGGAGAACCCAGAGAACCCGGAGAACCCTTGGAAAACCCCCGGAGAACCCGGAGAACCCGGAGAACCCCCGGAGAACCCCCGGAGAACCCAGAAAACCCGGAGAACCCGGAGAACCCGGAGGATCCCCCGAGAACCTTTGGAGAACCCATGGAGATCTCCCGAAGAACGCCCGGAGAACCCGGAGAACCCTTGGAGAACCTGGAGAATTCCACAGAACCCCCGGAGAACCCCCGGAGAACCCCCGGAGAACCCCCAGAGAACCCCCGGAGAACCGGGCGCTATAGTGTTCATGACTGCGTTAAGGCCGTGCAAGGTCCCGAAAATCGTCACGAGGGGTTGTTGGCTGTCATCAGGATAAAGCGCGTAGCGCTGCCATTGGCGGAGACGACGAACGAGCAGCTCAGCGCGGGCATCCATTTCCTGCATGACCGTCGACTCGGGCAAAGATCGATATCGAGGTCGAGCTCCCTCTGGAGCGTCAGCAGCAAATTCTGGTTTGCGGTCTCGAAGGACCACCCGTGCAAAGCCGAGTATGACGGCGTCTAGCCGTCTAAAGCCTAACTTCCGTGGCAGGTACGACTCCAGCCCCGAGTATGCAGCCGAAAGGATAATACCTTTGAAAGCCATCTTCTTCAGCCAGATGGAATGAGTAAGCTCCCCAAGTCGTCCCGTCCTCCTCCACGCAGATCTTGTGGCCTCCACCCCCCTCCCGATCTCGATCCCGCATCCACCCGTCAGCTGTTCCATCCCTCAAGTACAAGCTTTCGGCTGCTGCCGCCCCTGGAACTGGGGCAGCGTTCGAGAGCAGCGTGCGAGTGGCGGTGTAGGCTCCAGGCCCCGTCATCACGGGCATGCAGGTTTCCTTATCGGGACTATGAGCAAACCCTCCTCCCTCCTCCAACTTCTGATCCAGTACGCGGTTCGAGTCCAGGAGCCGAGCGCGAGCCTCGAGCGGGTTGGGAGCGCACAAGGGTACCGTCTGGTTGATATTATCAGCGTAGTTTGTAACCGAAACATCGTGCATCTCGCCTGTGAAAGCACGCGTCATGATGCTGGCAGCTCGGGCAATCGTGGTCTAGCATCACGCTGAACAAGATCAAGGCGCCCTTGTAATTGACCCCGCCAGGCCTCCACAGGCCTTACGAAACTGCGTGCGAAAAGCTCGCGGGCGTTCCCGCCCCCATCCCCGAGCCGTGCGTAGGTTGGTAGTGCCCCACCTCCCCCCCGGCCCCGATCTCCATCACCGCCCCCCTCATGCCGTTGGTGCAGGAATACGCGGTCTTGTGGGTCACGGACCCTCTCAAGCACCGCCCCAGCCAGCTCTGCATGCGAGGTCGAGGGGAAAGCGTTGGACATGTCTTTTTTTTACGAGGAGGTGCGGTGCGCCCAGTTTTTGTTGAGCCTCCAGCTGTGAACTTTGGCGGCGACCTGGGCGTTCTGTCGGGCCTTGTGGGGGGGCATGCCCATTGGCATGAGCGGGAAGGGGAGGTCGTCCGTGCCTAAGGTACATGGCTTTGTACCAGGCCTTCCCAAGCGGACAATCGCAATGCATGAGCCCCATGGCCTTGGTGCCCCTCTTCTGGTTCCCCTTCGAGAGCTGAAAGGTCCTACTCCAGTGCCAAGTCGTGGGTGTCCTAGATTTCGCTCTGAACTGTTTGAAAGCTCGCCTGATACGTTATGTGAGGTTCGGACAGTGTACGTGCATGCGGTTCTCAGCCCTGGCAAGTTGTGCGTCGCTCAGGCGAGACGTGAATGGCCATTCCCCAGAAAACTCTCGGGTAGCGTCAGAAAGTAGCCATAGCCATAGTTCCGCAGGCAGTGAATGACTCGGGGCAAATCGACGACGAGCAGCTAGCTTGAGTTGGTGACATTGCGGTACCGATCATCCCAGGCAACTGATGCAGGGGCCCGTCCTAGGACTTCAGGACCTTCCTCCGCCAAGCGCTCGAGCTCCATCTGTGCTGCCTCGTCGGGGGCTGTCAACACCTTTGCCGAACATCATCCTTGCTTCGCCGTCGCCTGCATCGTCGTCGTCCGTTCTGGTAGCTGAGGCACGCCACCGATCGATGGTCGTGATAGGTGTCGACTCCAACTGCCAGTTCGGGGTGCGCAAGATTGGACAGGGGCTTCCCAGCCATAACGCAGATGGCCATCATGTGGGATCGTACGGGGGAGCCATGGAGAATGACGTTTCTGATGGGATATTGACGTTTTTACGCATGGAGAACATGGCGGTGATGGGCGGCTGCTATCCGACGGGCACGACCTACTATGGCGCGGAGCCGAACCAGACCAGCAACCCAGACCGTCTTATCATTCCTGCGGGCGCGCTCCCGATTACGCCTTCCTGCCGCATTCTTCGACGAGCGATGAAGGAGCTCCAGATAACCCCGGACGTAAAACCAAGAGACCACGCACCATTATTTTGGAAGGCGGAATACAGACTGGAGTCTGCTACCCCTGCAAAAGGCGATCCACGCTGGAACACATATTCACTTTACAAGTTATTGCAGTTTGATGGTGCTGGGGCCGGGATATAGCAGGAAACGGAGAGATTGTCGACAGCCACTCGCAACCAGTGGATGCGCGACACGAACAGGACTGATCCCACCCCTGCGTGAACATCGCTTGTGCAGGACCTCAGGCAGGCAGCGCTACCCGAGCCGGAGCTTCTTCAGGAGAGATCGGGCCATGCTAGAGGATACCGCGAAGAGAGAGATGAGCTCTTGGCGCAGCGCCGCGAAGCCAGGCGTACCACGATCAGCGCCACGACCGAGACGGTTCAGCATGCCGAAGCCCTTCGACAACGACACTTCCACTTTCATGTTGATCGGCGGTGGGTAGTAGGCAGCGATGAGGGTCATGTCGTAGGTGCCGCTGCGTATGCGGATGATGCCACCTCTGCCCGCGATGTCTGTCGGCGCTGGCTTCACCTCGCATACGTGCTGCTGTCGTATACTTCGCTTCCGTAAGACAATCGCGCATCCAGCGCTCTTATTAGTATGTCGTCCTCTCCCCCAGCCAAAAGAGAACATGCGATGGTATTGTGTTTTCTGAACTGAGGCTGGTTCATGACGGCGTTGCCTGCAGGTCGTGGCAGGACACACAATCACGTCGGCGTGCTGAAGGGTCTTAGTAATGTCCTCCGCGCGCCAGGCCTCAGCGATGTGCAACGGATTGTATAGTGCAAGCTGCAAGAGACGACTCCACATCCTGCTGTCCCCGCGGAGGTGCGAACAAGCGTCACCAACGCTCGCCCCTGGTGGCTTTCGCCACCCGTCCGAACGACGGGGGTAGCAATATGAAGTAAAAGGTTAGTGGCCAGAAATGTGTGTGAGTGCGGGGATGGATGAGCCCCCCTCCACCTGGCTCGTAGCGGTAGAGGGGCACCGCGAAGTTCAGCACATGGCCCGTGAGGGCGTCGTCCTGTGGGCCAGGGAGCTGGGAGGAGGGAGGAGGGAGAAGGGTGGGAGGAGGGTGGGGGGAGGGAGGAGGGTGGGAGGGTGGGAGGGTGGGAGGGAGGAGGGAGGAGAGAGGAGGGAGGAGGGAGGAGGGTGGGAGGAGGGAGCATATAGGCTGGGGTGTCCAGAACTCAGCGCGGTTCCCACGGCCTGGCGGCTCCTCGTAAGGCTGGGCCCTGCGGGCCACGGCTTTGCACTGGGCTCTGACGCAGATGACGCCAGGCTCAATGCAGGTCTCCCCGCCGAGTTCCGCATCCTCCTCGCTCGCCCCTCTCCTCCCCCCACCTCCTCGCGCTGTGAAAAGCTGTCTATAACAGGTGGCTGTTGTCAATCTTCAGCCATCGGGGGCCATCGTTGGGCCCCAGGACCGTCCAGTAACGACTCAGGATGAAGTTCGGTCCTGGGGAAGGGGTCCACATCTGTAGGGGTCCACGTTGGGGGAAAATATCGCGGCGTCGGAACTCTGGGCTCTTGCAGGTCTTCCCGGTGAATTCCTCGGAGCGCATCTTCAACTCCGTCTGTCTAGTGTTTGGCGTCCTCGTGTTCTCGACCTTGATCTCCTCGATCTCCTCATCCGTGACCCAATTCAAGATCGGGATTGCAAGCAGCACCCACAAGCTGGAGCAGCTGAACCGCTTCCTGAGGAAGGTCGACATCAACCCAGCGCTCGCCATTCAGGTCCGCAAGCACGTGCGGGAAAAGATGAAGTACCAGACGCCGCTGGTGAACAAAGACGTGGAGGCGCTCCAACTGCTCCCCCTCTCCCTGCGAGTGCAACTGGAGCTGGAGCTGTGCCGCCCGCACCTGGACCTGAACCCCTACTTCTATCCAGCTGCCTGCGGCGCACCCCGCCACCGCGCCAGCGCAGCATCGCAGCGTGAAGGAAGTTGAGTTCGAGACCCATATTGAAGCTTCTCTTAGGCCTCCTGAGGGCCTCTCTGGAGTCTTTGAGGTCCGTTTGGGGGGGCCTTTGGTGGTCTTTTAGGGCCCGGGGGACCTCTGGGAGGCCTCTTGGGGGTCTCTTTGGCCCTTCGGGGGCGTCTTGAGCATTCTGACGCGCAGCAACTCGCACGAGGCACGGTGGCGGATTTTGTGCTCGCTGTGGACGACACCACGGCCGAGGAGCTGTGCCACAATTGTGCGGAGTTCTCCGTTCTGGGCAAGAGTGACACGCTCTTCCTCGCGGGCGTGGGGGCCGAGGGGATCTTCTTTGTCACCAGCGGCGCGCTGGGATACACGCCCGGAGGTCAGAGGAGGCAAATCCACCGATACCGCCACAAATCCTTTGTTTTCGCATCTGGGCCTCCTGGGAGGCCCCTCGTTGCCATGGCTGGGTTCGCTGCGAAATCCTGGCCAGAAGCACGCTGGAAGAGGTCCGGGGAGCAGCAGTATCGACACCTTTTCGCCCTCCCCCCAGGAGCGAACAGACTGATGAAGGCGCGCGGCCAGTCACGCCTGATGCCGACCGGCTCGACTGAGGAGGTCTCGCTCCCCACGAGTGATAGGAGACTACTTTTCAAGGGTTCAGAGATAATCCAGCGCTATCGGGCCCCCCCGCCCCCCCCCCGCGACCCCTGGAGCACCTGACCTTGCCATTTGCGCAGGTCTGAAGGGGGTGCGCAGCACTGGCTCGCTTTGGGCAGACGTGGGGCTGCCCAAAGCGAAAGGGTTTTGCTGTCGGCTGGCACCTTCCCCCCCTGGATAGCCCGGCTTTTCGTCGAAGAAGAAAACACTATCTGTAAGTCAGGCATGTCCCTCTACAAGGGGAATGTTCAAAAATAGTACAAAAATTGTCTGGGGACTATTTTTGAGTATGTTTGGGCATCTTTTCATTTTTTGGAAAATGTTTTAAATTTCGTCCAAAATCCCCCTGTAGGGGGACAGGCCCGACCTAAGACTATCTCCAGGGAGTCGCACAGCTCGGAGCTGGTGGAGCAGGGCCAGTGGCTGTCCGAGGCGGCGCTGTGGTGCGAGTGGCGGCACGCGGGGACCTCCGAGGCGGACCGGGGGCCCTCCTGCGAGGTCTTGCGCGTGGAGGCGCAGCGCCTGATGGGGCTGATGAGGTCGCGCAGGGGCGCCGTCGGCCAGTTGTCCTGGGCTTAGGAGGTCTTGGAAACGGCTGGGCCGTTCTTTGACCGGCTCCGTGTGCTGTTTTTCTTTGCGGGTTCTGGCGCCGTTTTTTTGTTTGTTCTGTCTCCGTCGCCGCTGTTTTGCCGGTTCCCGCTCGGGTTCCAATCCCGGAACAGTCTTTTCGCCGTTTCCGGTTGCTGCTTTTTACCGCTTCCGTTTGCAGGAGATATTGCTTCGGAAACATGGGCTGCCGCTTCCGGGGCGGCCCACTGAGGTCCTGGGCCTACGCGCGCAGCTTCCACGCCCTGCTGAGCGAGGCCATGAGCGGCCGCATGGGCAACGCTGGTCGTCAGGGGCCGCGTGTCGCAGCCGGCGCGGGGGTCGAGTGCAACACCGGCTCTCTGAAGGGGTGTGCTCGTGTGCGTCGTGTCGGCGGGGGATAGGCTCCGGGGAGATGCGTCGACCCCCAATCGCCAATCGCCCATTACAATGGAAGCCCATGCCAAGAATCACCCTGCTTGCCTCCATGGTTGTCGATGGATTTGCGATGGAAAGGGTGGCGTTCCCACATTAAAATCAATGGACGCCCTCAGGGTCTCAGGGTTGGGTTTCTTGTGGAAGGCTTCTTGTGGTCGAGCTCCTACTGCAGTCGCCGCTAGGGGCCCGTCAGCGATAGCCCCCCCGGCCCCGCTCAGGACCGTGCGGATCCGCTATCAAGGGTCTCTTGCCGATCTGTCGGCGGTGTCTCGCCGATTCCAGGCCGAGGCTTCCCCACTGAGCTGCCCCCCCCCCCCTAGCGCTGCCCCTCAGGTCGGCCCACCGACCTGCGCCTGCCGTTCACCTCGGACGAGGTCATCTCCAACCTGCCCGCGGGGGCCAGGACTCGTGGAGGAGAAAGCGGCATATTTGTGTTGTGCATTCCGCGCGGAGGTCTCGCATCTGCGCCGAACCACACTCCCTGGCGCGCCGAGCGCGCCAGGGGCGGAGCCAGAGGCGCCGCCGGGGTGGTCCAGCGCCGATCTGGGAAATCCGCGCGGAGCTCGACTGTGTATGTCTGTGCACTTATACGTTGCGTAATACCCGACACCGAACCTCCGGGTCGGTTTGGGAGGTCGCCGCGGCGATCGCGGCTGCCACACATCGGTGCAAGGTCTTTGTCAAGGGGTGGCATGCTCCTTCCCATGTAGACGTGGCTCATACTTTGCAACAAAGTGGTAGAGAGGTGCCAACTCATGTCATGTGGATGTCTCTGGAGGGCCCCTCAGGGGAGAACTCACTGATCTCGACATGAACACTTTGGTTGTGGTTGTGGTCGATTTGGCCGCCAGGGACGCCCACCTCGACCACAACCTTCACTCAGCTTTTTTCGGTGCTCTGACGACTGTCGGCGTGCGCAAGACATCCCTGGGTGCATCCTCAATGTGGTTGTGGTCGCTTGCTGTCCCCTCAGTCCGCATAGGCAGACATGTTTGATTGTACCCATCAGAAGTCGGAGGACAAACACACAAATCTTTATCGACTCCAGAATATCATCAAGCATCTGCACTGGACCCTGGGCGTTTTTCTCAGAGAATTTCTGTTCGTGGAGCTTTCATGATACCTGGACCTGGACTGCTGCTTGAGAAACTTGGCTTATAACTGTCTTAACTCTTAGCAGGGATGGTTCGGGGAAACGTAAGACTCGAGTAAGCCCGAACTCGGGTTTGCCGATTTTTTTTTGACGAGCGCGTCCTGGATTTTGACGGTCCGGTTTTCGTGGGATGTCTGCAGCGGGAGTTCGCGTCAGATTTCAGATTGGGCCTCGTCATTTTCATGATGGCCCCTGTCAGGCCAACCCGAGTCCCCCGTACCCGAGTCTTCCGGCGTCTTGCCGCCCACTTCCTGCTTCCTGTCTCCTGTTTCTTTTCTTTCTCCTCCCTTCTCTCCTTCCTCCAGCTTGCGTCCCTGGAGGGCTGCAAAGTGTGCTTCTGTCGCCACTTTCGTGGGCTCATGGGAGGTCCCGCGGAGTGGGGGCACACGGGGCTCCAGTTGGGACTTCGCGGCCCCCCTGGGGAGCTGCGAAGTGCGCAGCTGCTGCCACCTTCGCGGGCTCCTGGGGGGTCCCGCTGACGCCTCCCCGAGTGGAGGGGCCGTTCGGATGCAACTCCTGGGAGGTCAAATTCTGATGTTGCCCTGATCCGAAATCCGGCTTAATCCCGCTGTATCCCGCTTCATCCCGCTTCATCCCGCTTCACCTGCTTGGTCCGAGGCCCTTTCTGGCGCAACAGCCTCCCCAATGGGGCTTAATCCTTTTAATCCTTCCGACGAAAACCTCCCAGTAGTTGCCTCCTAACGAAGTGGAGGGGCCGATTCCCGGATGATGATGATGATGATGATGATGATGATGATGATGATGATGATGATGATGACGATGATGATGATGATGATGATGATGCTGATACTGATGCTGATGCTGATGCTGATGATGATGATGATGATGATGATGATGATGATGATGATGATGATGATGATGATGAGGAGGAGGAGGAGGAGAGGAGGAGGAGGAGGAGGAGGAGGAGGAGGGGGAGGCGCGCAGCCCCCTGGAGGACCTTCGTGGGCCAGGTGGCCCTGCGCGAGCTGCGGCGGTCGCTGGGCAGCGCGCGCGGCCTGGGCCAGGGCTGGGTGGCCTCGCTCGGCGAGGGCTCCTGGCCCGACGTCGACGCGCTGCGGGAGGACGTGGGGCGCGGCGCCAGCGCGCTGGTGCTCTCCAGGTCGAGAGGGTCTCCTGCTCCTCCTCCTCCTCCTCCTCCTCCTCCTTCTCCCCCTCCTCCTCCTCCCCCTCCTCCTCCTACTCCTCCTCCTCCTCCTCCTCCCCCTCCTCCTCCTCCTCCTCCTCCTTCTTCCCTCCCTCCCTCCCTGCCGCCCTCCCTTCCTCCCTCCCTCCCTCCTTCCCCGTCCCTCCGCCGGCCATACAGTCGGGGCGCTGACCTGAGGAACCCCAAATAAGGAACGAGGCCCCTTTTGTTCCATCAGTGAAATCTCGATCTTCCCATCGGAATCTAAGGGCAACCTAAGGCAAGGTGCGAAACAGATGGGGAACACCGAGCCCGTCTCCAACGAAGAGTGTTCCTTCAGCGCCCCGACTGTGCAGTCGAAACCGATGGTCAGGGCGCGTCACCTTCCCAAGGGTACCCCTTGCATCCTTGTCTCTTCTGGTCCATCCTCGGCTGCTTCCGATGGCCAGCCCCGCCCGAAGAAGCTCCCTCATGGGCGTCCAAGCGGCTTGCATCCTTACCGCGCGTCCTTACTATCAATGTTGATTGTACTGGGGGCGCCCAAGAAGAGGTGATGACCAGGCGTGAGTATCATGGCGGGGGCCATGATACCTCGACCGATTTCATAGCGCCTCCTCTGATTCAGGTGGCTTGCGCCGTTCCGCCGACTTGCCAAGAGGAGCGACAGCCTTCCACGATCGTGGAAGGCTTCCTGCCGGATGTACTCGATGGTCTCTCAGGATGCCTGTTGGGGGCGTTCGGGAGGGCTTCGTGGGGACGGGGCACCAGCGTGCTGGTGCAGCCCTGGCCCAGAGACGGTATCGTATGACCCATTCCCTGTCCCGTCGGGCCATGGTGTCGCAGCCAACCACACCGCCCGTTGGGGGATATACCCCTCGAGACTTGAAGGGGACCTCCCATATCCAGCATCTGGCGCGGCCGAAATCGGCCGGCGGGGCCCAGGCCGAGAGTCGAAGAAGAAACTCAAGGGCCGAGGTGGCCGCCGGCCATACCTTGCTTTGCTGTCCTGATTCGCCCGTGTTCAAACGCAGCACCTTGCGTTTTCAGAGCGTCCCGGTGGAACACGCTGCGTGTTGGTGCGGCACGTGTTGGCCCACGATTTGGCGGACGTCTGGCGCCAGACCGACGTTTACAGTCTTCGTCTTCCTTTTTTAACGTCTGCGCTGTAAGCCAAGGGGCTGAGAGGAGGAGGAGGTGAAGGAGGAGAAGGATGAGGAGGAGGATGAGGAGGAGGATGAAGAGGAGGAGGAGGACAAATACATATATAACGGGGTTGAGGAGGAGGAGGAGGAAGCAGAGGAGGAGAGGGACAGGGCGAGGGAGAGGGATCGGAAGAGGGAGAGGGAGAGGGAGAGGAACAGGGAGAGGGAGAGGGAGAGTGAGAGGGAGAGGGAGAGGGGGAGGGGGAGGAGGAGGAGGAGGAGGAGGAGGAGGAGGAGGAGGAAGAATCGGAATCGGAATCGGCCCCATCGCGGTGCGAAGAGTAATGGAACGACAACAAGCCAGACCCGAACTACGAGGACTTCGCTCGGTTCGAGGACTTACCCTGATCCTTGGGCCATAGCCCGTCGGAAAACCTCTGAATGTACATCTTGTGAGTGTCGGTCAGCACTTCGTCACAAGCCTTGGCCAGGGTTGGCCTCAGCTGCTGACTAGCGAACGAACCGCACTTCTTACAAATCCAACACTTCAGAGACACATGATAAACCATTTCGTGGGATTCGTGGACCCAGCCCCCCCCCCGATATGTACCTGTCGACCCCTCGGCCGCCTATAAAGAACTGAGTCAACTGACACAGGAGGGAAGCACTGGCTCCGTCGCCACAGAGTGGCGGCATCGGCAGACGAACTACAAAAGCAACGCACACACTTCCTCGACGACTCGTCGAGGCTGTGGACGGTCTCGAACACCGAGACCGTGCACGGAGACGGGGGAGGAGGGGGCCGCTCCTGCCTTGAACTCGATGCACTGGGCCTCGGAGGAGCACACGAGATGGCCTCCAGCGTTGAACGGAGGAGACGCTTGCGGACGAGTGCAGCGTCGCTTTCGACCTGTGCGATTTAGCTCGGACCACGATACTGACACGAGCTTCTGCGGCTGCCACGCGAGCGGAGGAGGAGGAGGAGGAGGAGGAGGAGGAGGAGGAGGAGGAGGAGGGAGAGGAGGAGGATGCGATTTCGCCCCATGTCGGGCGTTCCAGTGCGGTTTGCCGTGCTTCCTTGTGCCCGCAGGGCCGCAAACCGAGGAGCGCCGTCTTCCTGCCCACGGCTGGCCTGTAGGAGTGCGGGTGCGTTGGTTGGCAGTTGCAAGTGATTGCCGCTGCCGCCGAGGAGGGGATGGGAGGACGGGGAGGGAGGGACGATGCCATGGGCGAGGTGCCGTGGTCAGACTTGGAGCCTCCCTTCCCCATGAGCTTTGGCCCAGGGAGGCCACGAGCAGAAGTTGGGAGGGGCGGGCCGATAGGCGTGGGGCCAGGAGTCCTTGCCCCTCCACGGGGCCCGCCTCCTCGCGTCCTCGTCGAGCGCCGCCTGCTGCCGAAGTGCACGGCGTCGACGAGGGAGGGAGGGGAGGACGGGATCAGGGTCGACGCTAGGGCGGAATAGGCTCAACGGGGGATGCATCGACTCCCGATCGCCCATGTATCGCCGGCATGGGGAGCACGATAGCCCGCCCCGCCAAAGAGCATGTGGATTTGCTATCGGGGGCCTATCGCCGATCTATCGGCGATGTATCGCTGATTCAAGCTCGATATCTCCCCCACTGAGCTGGTCCCCTCCTGACTCAGGGGGGCGATGCATCGACCCCCAGTCGCCCATTCATCGCCGAGGGGGGCCCGGTAGCCCACCCCGCCCAGGAACGAGCGAATTCGTTATCGAGGACCTATCACTGATTTATCGGCGATGTATAGCCGATGCAAGCTCGATGCTGCCCCGCCTGCCATGAGCCAGTCACCCCCTACGTGCCTTTCACCCCCACGGGAAGCGTCAGAGCTCGTGCTGAGTCGGTGGCCTCCCATGCACAGGGCCAGCAGGTTCGGCGTGAAGCGCGTCATCACGATGGTGGCGCTGCAGCTCTGCCGGGAGGACGGGTGGGCCGAATGTTCAACGAGCCCCCTCCTCGTCCTCTTCCTCCTCCTCGTCTTCCTCCTTGTCTTCCTCCTCCTCCAGTTCCTCCTCCTCCTCCTCATACTCCCTTTCCTCCTCCTCCTCGTCCTCCTCCATTTTTTCCTCACGAATAACTCCTCCCTGTCGCACCCCGAGACGTGTCGGTAGGGCGGGCCAGGCGTTTCGCCTGAGACTTCCCCACCATTTATGACCCTGGAGTTTCAAAGTTGCAACAGTTTCTCACGGATGGAGTTGGGTCGTTTTCAAAAGGTGGTCGTCCCCTTAGTTCTGCGCGCCGCCGCTGTAAGAGTTGCAGCATGATCAAGTGGGCTGGTGGTTATTCTCCAAATGTGGCAATACTTTTGGCACCGCGCACATTTGTTTTAAACGTTTGCGGCAGCGAAGGATTCGTATGATTGAAGTTCCAGGAACGGTCACAGGAAACGTTGATTCGTGAAGTCCCAGGAAACGTCACGTTGATTCGTGGCGTTGGAATCCCAGGAATGGTGTTCTGGTGCGATTGAGGATTCTCAGGCGATTGTCTTCAAGTGGGGCATTTCCGCCAACGTACACGAATTCTGGCAGGGTCCTATGAAGAGGGAAATTGGAGGGAGGGCTTATTGCAACAACGCTGATGCGTCTTGGATTTGTACTGTTCCTCCGGGCACTCGCCGAGTAGACCCCACCCCCGTGGATGGGCTTTGTGCAACTGCCCATCCGTCGTTTGAGCGTAGGTGTTCTTGGACCCCCAGATCCCAATCTGCTTCCCGAGGCGCCCTCCCATGCCGAGATCGAGCGGTCCTCCCTCCTCCACCTTCGTGGGGCTGGCGGAGCCCCAATCCTGAGTGTTTCTATCCACTGCTTCCGGCCGATGGGGTGATGCCTGAAGTTCCGCGCGCCCCCACCAGCCCGCCCCGAAGGTATCCGACGGGTCTGGGCAACCGCGCCGTCCCCCCTGGCCTCAGCCATCGAGGGACGCCTCGTCGCCGTCCGTGTCGCCGTCGTCTTCCTTCTGCGACTCGTGCCGTGTCTTCTCCGCGGGGGCGCGTAACGGGCCTTCCCCCCGCCCTTTCCGTTGGACGCAGGACGAGCGCTCGTCGCCCTCGCTGTCGTTCTGCGGCTCGTCCTGTGTCCCCTCCTCCTGGACGCCGAGGGGTCCTTCCCCTCTGTCTCGGTTGGATGAGCAGGATTGGCTGGCGCCATCCTTGTCGTCTTCGTCGTCTCAGGAGGGGAAGAAACACACAGACACAATCAATCGTCGATTCCGCAGATAATTTGGGAAAATATGGGAAGTGGGGGGGAAGACAGAAACTCAGAAAATATGGGAAACTATGGGACTATGGGGAATCCTGTTAATTGTGTATATTTATTTGTGTGTCCCAGGGCCTCTTCATCATCGTCCTTGTGCGTCCTTTTGTGGCTCGATGGTTTTTTGCAGACTCGCCCAGCATCGCACTATACTGATACATTCTCCCTTGTCAAAGCGTGTTTGCCTTCATTAGCAGTATGGACGCCTTGTTGACAGTTCGGTATCAAACAAGTTGCAGTTGCTGGTGTGAGCGCCCGGTGTCACAGCGATTCCGGCGTGTCGCATTGTGGTGTGGTGGAAGTTTAATTCATTGGGTCGTCAAAGAATGCCCCATCGGCCAAAGTCAAAGCAGGATGCCGGTACTTCAAAATGCTTTTCAAGAGCTGCAAGGCAAGGTCAATTGCATCTTCGCAGAAGTGGCGGATTTAAAACGCAGGGTGGAGTATGTCGAGAGAAACAGAACAACATATCATGGGGCGGTGACGCACGGAGATTTGTCAGAGCGAGTCGGACAGCCTGAACAAATATACATACTAGTCGATTTTCTGAAAATTGAAAACGTGTGCGATCGTTTACTGCAAGAACCAATTCAATCAGATTTTGTTGGTGGTCACGAGTATACGGCAGAATTCGACGATAACACACAGGCGAACAAAGATGACCCCAATTCCTCGGATAACATGTTTGAATATTTGGCAGGGATAGCGCAAACAACTCAGATGAAGTTAGAACGTATGAAATTGTTACTCGGCGATAACAGCGAGACTCTTGAGTGGGAGGGCGAGTCTTTGCACCAATGTAGGCGAATCCTTCAACATCGTTGTGACGTGCCGCTGGACAGCGTTCGACATGTCGTCAGCAAAACCTGGTACGTCGGCCAGACGGGATCATTGATCATACTTGGTTGCAA